GGGGTCAACAGCAACCAAATGCAACCAAGTTGAAGTCAGTTGGGTCGCACGGTGGCTCACGGCTTGGGCCTTTTAGCGCGGGTGTGGGCGGAACTCGCGCAGAGCTAGCGTGGGTCAAGGGCTGATGCTGGTTCGCTTCAGATTCACGATTGCCTATTGTGAAGTACAGACTCGCAATGAAACGGTGGCTGAATGTAGCCCATTTACGTGGTTTGTTTGACCACAAAGCTTGCAACGCGGCTGCCCAAAGTATCCCGCGACCTTGTGATTCGCTGAAGCCCCGGCGCTTTAGTCAAGTTTGGACATGTCAAGTTTTTTCAGTGAATTGGGGAGAGAAAGGACGCAGGGGCAAAGTAACGATTGAGCTTCCACAGGAGCGTTCGTCGTTGGCATGCCCGCATGGCGCAAAAAAAAGTGTAGTCTGCACGTACACCCTCCCACGCATGTGGCCACAGATTGCTGCAGACCTACTTCACACAGGCTCCACACAGCACGCGCCGCAACGCTTCACGATTTGATTTCCGCGCGTGTTGCAGCCGAAGAACCGCGTGGCCCAAGCCCGGTTAGGAAGACGTATCGGAGCTTCCTTGGCCGATCCATTTGCGCGGCGTGGTTGGTTGCCGAAGCCATCGGGCTAGAGCCGCGTCCCACCGCATTTTAACGCCTCTTCAAAGCAGCAAACACCTTCTACGCGAGGCCAGAAGGCTGTCCGTACCAATGCTCGGGGCTACGCGGTTCAAACTAGGACCTGTCTCAATGTCCAAGAAGTGCACGAAACACGCTGTAGGACGTGTGTTCCGTGGCACGCAGACGCTGGGCGCGCAGCGCGGGGCCTGGCACGGGGGGGGGGCGGGAGATGGCCAAGGTGTTGTTGGAGGCCTGTCGGCCAACGGCCGTTTTGAAGATGTGTTATATTGGCTTGTGCCCGTTTTTGCAGGGTCACAACCGTTAGTCTGAGAACGCTACACGCATAGCCAGGCTAAGGTCGCCTAAAGCTGATATTGCTAGCCACAACCTGGGAATGACCCATCCGGCAATTTCGCTGTTCCCGCGAACGCGAAGGCCGGTGCAGTTGGGGTAAGGGCCGCCCTTGTTAGCACGTTGCATTGTTCTGCTGTAGCCATCATTGGCGCCTGTGGCAAGCATGGAGCGTAGAAGAGCACGAACATTGCAAACAAACAGTCTACCCGATCCACGCAGCATGCGGCTGGCATGCAGCCAAGTGGATGAGGCTCGTACAATGACACGGTGGACGACATCACGGCCATAGCAGCGCGGGCCACAATTCGACGGCTCGCTGGCACTCAGGTGTTTGTTGTTTGCTACATGACATTGGCTTTGTTGCCCGCAGCGCTGCTCAATTTGTTGTGCCATGGGCCCCGAAGATCGGGCCATTGTTTCCAAAACCGGTAAACTTCCACGTTGCGGGCACGACGATCACCGGAAAAAAAAGGCTCAGAACCCTTATGAAACATGGGCATGTTCACACGCAACCCACAAATCACACATGGGCTTCTGGCCGTTGACCTTTCAAGATGATATGTGCAGACCAGATCGGGACCCCCCCCTTCTGATCAATGTCATGCTGGTCCCACAGCCGAAAACCTCGTTTTGACGCATGGGCAACAGGCCTGCTATTTCCAGGGTATCCATTTTGCGTGTCCATGTTTCCACTTACCAGGCTTCCATTTGGGTACCGGTTTTTTGAGCCACAGCCAGTTGTGTCCAAGTCGTTTTCGTCCATGTCGCATCCAGGAAACGGCCGCGACTTTTCGCAGCCGTCACGGTTCACAGCCAGAAAAGGCGGGCGGTGCCTTCGGAGCAAGCCTTTGCATGCAGCCTGGCATGCTGGCATGTGTCATCCGCTGGTTTTTAGCTTGACTGCTATTGGGTTGGATATTTGGACTTTAGCTTTTTGGGAAGGTGTTTTCCACTAAACCCCCCAAAAAGTTAAAATTTGCTGGGGGTCAACAGCAACCAAGTTAAGAGCGAAAACCCATGATGAAGGTGCTTCCTGGTATCTTCCACGTTGGATCCTGGCTTGCCCGCGAGGAGGGCAAGCCCTTCATGACTTCATGGCCGGGTTGGGTAAACCGTGTCCGGCGCCGGTTCTTAAAAATTTAACCGGCCCGAGGTTAGGGTGAAGTTTTGAGGCTGGAGCAAGCGAGAGATTGCTTGTGCTTCAGTTGCCACACCAAGAGAGACGGAATTTGAGGGCAGTTTGGGATAGTAGAAGCAAAGTGGAGATTCTTTTCGAAAACGGCGGCTAGGGTTGTCGGGTTTCAGCGTGTCACACGAAGGAACCGCTCAGCCAAGGTGCGTCTCATTCATCGTCGACTTCTTTCAGCAGCTTGGCGGCTGTGTGTTTCAAGTGGCATACTCACAGATTTCTTTGTTTGTTTTGTTGGTTTTCGTTCAACGTTGCCCCCGAAAACAGCACCTCGTTTTGGCACGTCCTCCTTGATTCTAGTCTCTCCAGGGGTTGACCACATGAGCCTCCCATAGGGGAATGATGACGAATGCCACTCGCCGAGGAAAGTGCTACAGGTCTCATGCAACCGCATCCGCGGGCCGCCTGAAATTGCTGACCAAGGACCAGGGCTGTGGGAAAAGACCACTTGTGTGATACAACAAAAAGGGCCTCCCCAAGACGAACCCCTCATATACAGAGGGGATACAGAAGTGGGGAAAACAACCTTGATCCCACAACCCTGCCAAGGACTCAATCGATTTTCTGGAAACATGGAGTTCGCCAGTGGCTGGCTCGTGAGAGGCTCTCACCTGGGCACCTTCTAGTTGTGTAGCCTCTCAGCTTTCCAAGTGGAAAAGAATAGATGAAATTCCAGGGGGTCGTTCCTTCATCGCGGATGGCCGGGACCACGCTACATGGGTGCAAATTCTTGGTATGTAAGTTGGGCCAAGTCAACGCCACCTGAAGGTTTTGGATAAACTATGTCTCACTGCAACATGTTCTTTTGTGAGGGCCTGGCGACGCCCGCAGGACAAGACGAGAAGGACATGCCGAGCAGGAGGCGCACGGACACATCTACGACAGCAGGCAGGGGCTGAACACCTGGCATGAAGTGCTGAAAACAGAGAAATTTGCTTGCTACAATAAAGCATGTGGCCCACACTATTTTTTTGTGTCATGTCAGGTGTTTTCTTTTCTTTGTTAATGAGCAGTTGGAGCAGGACGAACTTTGGCCTCCAAGTGCCCCATTTAGGCCGTAGCCTCAGTTCGAAGTAGTTGCCTTGTTTTTGATCCGGCTGGCTGAGCAAAAGCCATCCGGGTTTGGTGGGGTTCTACTGTTGATCCCGGATCAATAAACCCCTTCAACTAATAGGAGTCCGGGAGAAAACATGTTTTCTAGCACAAGCCGCCTCTTCATACTCCAAGCTTCTCAGTGTTTTCGAGGATGGATTTAGGCAAGCCTGACGACCTTCACAGGGTGTCAACAAGAATAAGCTGTCATTCTCCGAAAGTTTTGGAGGAACACGTTTCACTTCCACTTGCTTAAGGTGGCTGGGAGTTTCAAGGGCGCTAGTTCCCCTTAAATCTCGGGTCTTTTCCACACAATGGAAATTAACCAGCCCAAACACTTGCTTGCTATTGGGTTTTGGATCTTTAGACTGAACAACCTTTTGAAATCAAGTTAGTTTTCGGCATTGAACCCACAAGAGTTGAACAGCTTTTTGCAGAGGGGTCAACTGCAACCAAGTTATTGGCCCAAGAAGTTTTGACGACGGTCCCAACCAGAACCTGCGCGGGCCGTATCGCGCATGGGTTTTGGAGATACCGAGATACCTCATTCGAGTTTGAGGTTAAATGCCCTTTGGCGGGGTGATGTTTAAAGGGAGCATGTAAGAAGCTGGTTTTCCATTGGTTTCTCATAGGCCAGTGTGAGGGGGGGGATCCAGCCCAAACTTGAGGCGTGTAGAGGCAGCCTGAAGCCATGTTTGGGTGCTTGGGTAGCTTTCGTGGGAGGGTTCAACTGGCCTAGGAAAAATAATTGCGGGAGGGAGGGCGCTTGATAAATTTGGAAATATGGTTTTCTGTGGTTTCTCTGTACTATGAGCCAATTGAACAAGCCCTTGTGGTCGTGGTGGAAACCAGGGTTCTGGTCTTCCTTGTGGTGTCCCTTGAAACCTCCCCAACAACAGGGTCCCCTTAAACATAGAATTGCACGAAACTTCTGGTCTTCAAGGGAACTGTTCGCAACGCTTGGCTAGTTTTACCAAATCGCCCCAGAAAAGACCTTTTGAATTCAAATGCTGGGGCTTTTCCGAATGAAACCTGCGAAAGGTCTTCAACTTGTTGCTTTGGGGCTGAGGGGGCTTTTTTTTTCTCGCAGATCTCCATCCATGGCAGGCTCGATCTCATCAGCACCCTCGGGGCTGTTACCGAAGCCTGGGCCCAGCCTTACAGAGTTGAACGATGAGGTGCTGCTGCACATCCTGCCGCTGGGAATGACAAGCGAAGTTGGTTTGTCTCTGGTCGAAACATGGTACATGGCGGCTGTTCCCTTTAACACCCAACGGCTTTTGGTTCCTCAAAAAAACGAGAGGCAGCTGGATACAACCAAACGAGAGCCGAAAGAGAGGGATCTTAGGGCAATTTGGGATGCCTGAAAAGCAAGAGACAAAGTGGAGATTCTTTTTCACAACTGTGGGCTTCCAAATATGCCGGGCCTCCCATTCTTTTGGCACAGTGGGAAGGAACCAAACTGCTGTTCCCACAGCCCTGGGTTCTTGCGTTTTGCGTTTTGGCGGATTCTTGCATTGGATGGGGAGTTGGAGCCCAGGGCAAATTTTTACAAGGTCTCATTTGGGTGGGAATCAACTGGAAAAACCAATCTGATTTCGCAGATTTTTGCTTTAGGTCAAGCACTTTATGTGCTACTCACTCACATGCGAAGCTCACTTGCAACCAAGCTCACGTCCTCGGTGAATTTGCCAAAAGAGTCCTCCAGTATGGGCATGGGTAGCTTTCTTTGCTCGGGCCCATGAGGCAAACTGCACGGCCCAAGGTTGACACTTGATTCGCCAAGCACAGCCAAAGACGATGGGCAAATGCAGGAGTTCAACATGCTGCCTTGCAAGCTTTGGAAGTCGGGCAAACGCCAACATCAACTTGCAGAGTGAATTCCCAGCCCGAGTTTGCAGTCTCACCTTTTGAGACGATGGCATGCCTTGCAAGATGCCTTGCGACTGAATTCAACGTCCGAAAGAGGCTAGGTGTTCTTGAAATATTAGGTGAGTCCCACAAAGCCCCCGGAAGTTGCTAAATGCCGCGCACAAACCTTTGAGGGGATTTGAGTTCACCGTTGTGGTTCTCATGTCCAACACTGGCCTTTTTGAATCCAAAGTTGAGAGAGCGTGTTCTTTCTATATTATTGGGCCACAAAAGACCCACCCGGAGAAAAACAAGAACCCTATGGGAAACTCCAAAAAATCCTTGGGTTCCTTAGAAAACCAACCCTTGCCCCCCCCCCATTTTGGCTCCTCGTCGACCCAAGGAGCCTTCTCCCCGGCTGGATGGCCTGGCGCGTGGAGCAGACGGGCCACGCCTGGCGCCGGGCCTTGCACTCGGGCAACGCCTACTGGCAGAGCAGGCGATCCCAACTCGCTCAACTCGCAGCCCAACGAGCCGTTTTTTTTTTTTTTTTTTGTTTATGTTCCCCCTCGTGTATGTTGTTGGATCATGTTTGGTTTTTTGTTTCCCCTTCTTGTATGTTGTCGGATCATGTGTTTGTTTTTTGGTGTGTGTGTGTGTGTGTGTTTGCTGTTTTGTTGTTTCACGCAGGGCGGGCGGTGTGTTTTTGTGTGTGTGTGTTGCATTGTTTTTGGTGTGTGTGTGTGTGTCTTTGTGTTTATGGTTCTGATCATTTTATGTAGGCGATCGCAACCCATCGCGAATCGACGACTCGAGTTTTTGCTCCAAGCGAAGGTGGACCGGATCTGACAACTTGTAGCGATCCGACCTGGCTTTCCCATTTTTAGTCAAAGGTGCCCAAACGGTGATCACGCTTTTATTTCTGGGTGCCTAAGGGGCAAGTGAGACGATTCGTGTCTTCCTTCTGGTGTGTTGTTTGATCTTATGTTTGTGTTGTTGTTGTGTTTTGTTTTTTTGTGTGTGTGATTTTTCGTTTTGTTCTGTTCATTTTGGTATATAGGGGGGATGCACAAAAGAATGTGGATTGATTTTGATTGCTACGATGCAACAATTGGAAATTTAGTCAGTATACAAGGGCATACCGGGATATAACTTATTTCTCTCTGGGGCAATTGTTTGGCGGCGGTTCAGAAGCCGCATGGAAACCGGAAACGCCGCTGCTTGTGCTTTGGGGATCACTTCCGGGTTTTTGAAAATGGCTCGTGTGGACTCCACCTAGGAAACCAAAACGCGTTCAGGTTCATTCCCTGTCATCCCTCAGTGCCTAGAACCAGCAAGAATTTACATTCCTAGGATTAGGATTCAACCCTCCCCAGTTTCCCCAAATGCCTTGGTTTGATTTTGGGGACAGGGGAGCATGCAGGGAGGGGATATGAAGCAAATGTGGGTCTGTCGTTTTTTGTGGCTATGTTGGGCTTTTCAAAAGAAAAGCAAAGACAAATTTGACGATTTTGTGACACACCAATCCGCCAGAAACTCCCCCTGATCCGGCTTCATTCATCCCATGCGTTCGATATCCTTTGGCACCCATCAAAAGCAGGGGTGATCACTTTTTGGACTGGGAGTTCCTCCGTTGATTGACTGAAGCTTGAACATCCATTCTCATTTTTCTCCCCAGCCCCAATTTTTGGCGGTATCCTTCTTACTTCCGGTCCGGGCGCGACAGCATGCTTCTATTTGCTTAAGATTTGTTCTTTTCTCCTGTTGGTTTTAAAGGGAATCTATCACTACTGGGCATTTTTTGCCAGAGGCTCCCGATGTTTTTTTTGGGCCCTCAAACAGCCAGGTGTTGAGACCCCTAAATACCAATTCGCGGTGTGTCTAATGGAGGGCTCGGGGTCTTCCATTGAAAGGTCCAGGAGCCTCTGGGCAGGGGACTTAACTCAGTTGTTCAAAGCGAATCGACCTTTTGACCTTTCGGTTTCCATATTTGTGGCTTTAAAAAATGATCACCTTTTAGTTCCAGGTCCTTTGGGCAACTGAGTGAAGCAACTGGAAAAGTGGGGCTCCACCAGGTGTCTCCACGAGTTCGCCGCGCGGCTCGGGCCCTCGGACCTGGCGCGCCGGAAGTATCGCCAGCTGCTGGGCGTGCGGGAAGTCAGGAGAGACGCCCTTCGCGGCACTCGGGCAACAGGAGGGAAGCAAGGGACGAGGTCCCCCCAGTGCCCTTTGAACAACTTTTTTGGTTGGGAGATCCGGTTCTTCTACGAACATAGACTGCAGAAAAGAAAAAAATCGGGTAGCCTTATTCTAACCTCTCTACCGGAGGACCTAGGGGACAATCCCAACCAGAATCAGTCTGGGGACCCGCAAATTGCAACGTTGTGTTGGTTTCCTTCTGGAACCTTGAACAAATTCAAATAAGGACCCAAGAAGGGGGCGGCTTTTCTATGCTGAGACAGATGCGTGTCTCCAAATCGGGGCTGGCAAGCGAACTTTTTTGAGGCTTCTGAAGCTCCTGAGGCAGAACCAACACCTAGGATTCAATCAGCCTACCCAGAATGTAAAGAATTCACAAGGCCGCACCCAATTCCAGGGGTGCCTGTACATACCCCTTTTACATACCCCTTGGGCCAATAACCCAAAAGGCCTGTTCATGTTCATACTCTCCCCAAAAGGGGTATATACCCCATATAAAGTGGGTTGGAAACCACGGAAGCCAAGGGGTATGAACGAGGGGTATGTACCTAATTTTGAAAAAAAAACACACACATACACACAAATATGTGTGTCTGAAAATGGTGGATCTAAAAGATTCTGGTGTTCCTTGTGGTTTTCCTTCCAAACAAAAGCCGGAATGGGTTCCCCCGAGCCGGGGAAAAAATCCTTCGGCGCTCCTTTTGACAAGTCCTTTCACCCCCCAAAAAAAGCAAAAACACACACACACACACACTCTGGTTACCCTCAACAAGTCCTTTTGGCTGTCCTTTCAACCCCCCACAAAAACGTACAACAGCTGGGCACGCCTCCAAAAAGACGGCTTTTTGTTCGCCCCTCGCCAGGAGGGGGGTGTGGTGCTACTGCAGCCGCCGCCATGGGCTGGGGGACCGGGTGGCAGCCCCCCAGCTCTTCGTGGGGCCTCGGGGGCAGAAGCTCTTCAGCCCCGAAGCTGAAAGAACATAACGTGGGAAGGGGCGGCTGGAGCTCCGGACTCAGTTCCTGGGTTGGACTTCTGGACTTCGCTAGGCAAGCTGCAAATCATGGCTCTGGAGGGTCCCGCTTCCATTTGCTGAAATGCATATGTGTTATTTTCCCCCGATTGGTTTCAAAAAGGAATCTGTCTACTGGAAATCTATCCACTGGAAAGAGCATGACGTGGGAATCCGGAGAAAAGCCAAAAATGGAAACTGCCCTGAGGGTTCCTCAAATTTTGATTGGCTTTCCTTTGGTTTGATGTTCGGAGGGGACCTTCTGCTGAAATGCATCTGTTGTTTTTATTGTCCCCTCTTGGTTTTTAAGGGAATCTATCACTACTGGAAAGGTGGACTCAAGCAAATGGAAGGGGTAGTAAGGGAGAAGAAAAGGATCATTTTGTTAGGGTACCATCCCTCAGTTGCTGCTTGCTAGGGTGGATCTCCCTGCCTTCTCTTGCTCTCCCTGGCTTTCCCTTTGAGCATTCCCTTCCTTACCCTTGCCTTCCCTTGCCATTCCTTGCTGTCCCATGCTTTCCATTGCTTACTCTTGCTGTTCCTTGCGTTCCCTTGCTTTCCCTTGGAATTGGACGGCAAGGGAAAGCAAGAGAAAGCAAGGAGGGGTGGCAAAGGGAAAGTAGGGAAATCGAGGGACAGTAAGGGCTTGCTTTGCTTGATCTTGCTTTCCCTTGCTTTCCGTTGCTTTCCCTTGCTTTCCCTTTGCTGTTCACCTGCTTTTCCTTGCCTTCCCTTGCTTTCCCTTGCCACCGGTTGTCCCTTGCTTTCTTTCGCTTTCCCTTGCTTTCCCTTGCCACTCCCGGACTTTCCCTTGCTTTGCCTTGCTCTTGCTTTCCCTCCTCTTGCTTTCCCTTGCATTCCCCTGCATTCACTTGCGTACCCTTGCTGCTTGTTTGGTCCCGCGTTTGCCTGAAGAGCAACATTGGAATTGGACAACTTCCTGGCTCTGCTCATGAGATCATGTTAATGGTAAAGTGCAAAAAACAACACAGTTTTCGGCAATCAGGGCTTGGAAAAGCTGACTTGGGTGGTCTTGGCATTGGGCGTTTTGGCAGGTGACTTGTTAGATTTGTAGAAGTTTGGAAGTTGGCACCTTTCTTTTTGTTTCTTCGGAAACCAGGCCCGCCATCGGGTCAGCGCTTGGATCTCGGGTCATTGCACCTAGTCATTTTGAGCGCTCCCTGAGCACCCCGCACCCCAGTTGGATTCATGTGCAAAATGTTGGGCATTGGCCAACTTAACGACCCAAAGCCCCCCCTTTCAGGCCACCAATGTTTGATGGAGGTGAACAACAACTCCAACCCTGCATGTTTTTTTTGTTGCAATGTGATACCAGAGGCGAAGGGCTGTGGTCTTAGTGCCGGTCATCCTTACGCGTGATTCTCAGTTCATTCGCTCCGCTATGGCAAAGCCGAATTTCCGCCCTGCATTTTGGTTGTTTTACTGATTTGCTTGCTTGCGTTGAGAGAATCAAGCCTTGCCAATCAGGGAAGCCCCACGCTTTGGTCAACCTGTTTCGGTGGAAACGAGCGACCGGAAGCTACTTGCGAGTCCGACTCTTGTCACGTTTGCATCTAGGCTATGGTGGCTGGACAGACCGAGGAGCCGATGCCACGAGTTGGGAACCCGTTCCCAGCTGTGGCCCGATGTTTGCGACGTAAGGGTTCACGTCCCACTTGCTTGCGCATGGTCTGGTTCTGTTCAGTTTGCGCTGGAGATGTCTTGGGGAATGGCACTCGCAAAAAGATAGCGCACTCGCAAAAAGATAGCCCCCTTCAGCGGAAGCTGCCCCTGATGCCAGCCATGCATTCGGGCCTACCAATCCTATTCGGGAAGCATTGGGAAGGTGATGCCGTCTCTCTTTACCCAATCCCTATATTCTAGTAATATTTGGAATGGGGAATTGGATCAGAGATGAAAGGATGAGACAAGACGGCTGCAAAATGAATCATATATACGTACAGATTAAACCAAAACTTAGCCTCTATAAATAGGGGTGTCTGTCGTTTTCGCCGTACCCGAAAATAAAAGCGTAAACAATCACGTAAATAAATCAAGCTTTCTGGTTGGCCTGGCCCTTAATAGGAAGAGTCCGTAAATAATATGGTAAATAAATTAGTTGTAACTTATTTTGGCTTGCCCGATCTTGAGTGACCCTGCGTGAGCTGGACTTAGTGTCCCTCATTGACAGGGATGTGTATGGGCGAGAATCTTCCCCTTCGCGAATTCAACCTGCTCATATCACTGAAGGAAGGCAAAGCGTCATGAGTCATGAACCATTGGAAGAGCCGCGACAACTTTGACATGAATGTTCATGCGTACTGGAAGCTGCGAGCCACAGTTTTTGCTCGCGAGCATGTGTCGCGTTGGCAAAGCCAAAAAGCTCCGGACGCAAAAGCGCGTGCGCCCATGCTTGCGCTTGGGTTGCGTTGCCATGCTAATAAGCAGCCAGAACCCACACCAAGATACATGTCAATTTGTGTTTAGTGATCATGAGAAAGGAGATGTTGTAGGAACCGAGGACTAGGAACACTGCGTCTTGTCAAAGAACGTCCGGTATGTCCGGTCATTGGTAATGTCAGCTGCGTGAACAACATTAAGAATATTTGAGGGCGCTTTCCAACAATCAAGACTTAGTCAGCTTTTTGTTGGGCGACCTTGCAAGGGCCAATCTTGAAGAACATCAAGATAAACGTCTATATTCCTAACATGCACCTGGCGCACAGACACACAGACACCGCCCACACACACACAAACACACATGCACACACGACTCTACGAGGTTGTCTCCGCGTGGCCGCTGATCCAACCAGTCAGGAGTTGCAAAGGACGATTTTAAGCCTTGCCTTCTTGCAGCTTTGCTTGCAGCGTTGTGGTACTGTCGCGCGTTTTTTTTTTTTTTTTTCTTTGCCGCGGCTTCGCCTCGTTTGTCCGCAAGACCCAGGGAATCCAAGAACCGATTCCAGAAACCCAGTTGAGCGAAGGCCGGAAAAGAGGAGCGATCGATGCTGTCACATGTGCACGCAAGTTCTGCGGACGGACCTCCATGCTCAAAATGTGTCCCCTGAACGGTTCAGAACGGTTCAGCCAGCCTTTTTCTGCGTAAATGGTTGCGTAAATTTTCGCGTAAATTTCAGACAAGTCTTTGCCTTTTTGTGCTTTGAGATTTCGGATCGCTTGCGATGTTCCGATGCCGGCCTGACCTTTTACCTAGGACTAGGAACCGCCAGCCGCGTGCTCACGAACCGTTCCGAGGAACGGTGGCAACCAAACTGCATGCCCCTGAACCGTTCTGAACCGTTCCGAAAGCATTGGAACGCGTGCCCCTGAACCGTTCTGAACCGTTCCGGAGGCCTTGGAACCCATGCCACTGAACCGTTCTGAACCGTTCTGGAGCCCATCTAGCAAGCAGCGCACAGAGCAGGCATATAGTTCAGAACCGTTCTGAACCGTTCTGAACCGTTCGTCACTCAAGCTTCCCAGGAACCGTTCTGAACCGTTCAGGAGGGATTGCAGCATCATACTATGAACCGTTCTGAACCGTTCAGCAGTCATTGCAGCAGCATACCCTGAACCGTTCTGAACCGTTCAGGAAGAATTGCAAGCAGCATGCCCTGAACCGTGCTGAACCGTTCAGGAGGGATTGCAGCATCATACCCTGAACCGTTCTGAACCGTTCGGAGACATTGGAGCTGCGTACCTAGGAACCATTCCGAAGATTGCAACAGCATGCTCAGGAATTGCTCTTGCTTCTGCTCACGCATGCTTAGGCTTACCAACCACGTGTTTAAGATGTTTGGCCTCCTAACATTCGCACGGCAGCTGCTAAGGATTTAACAAAGATCATTCAATCAACACCTTGGGCGCTTGTTATGGAGATGGGAGGGGCGCGTTGGAGCCTTACCTTCTTTGTGCCAATGTTTTGCCATTGGCTTGTCTGATTGTGCGCCTTTTATCTCTGTTCAGGCCTGTTACATGGCAAATGATGCAGCTTCCAGCTTCCAACACTGAGGCACACATTGTTTACATGATCTTTTACGTGTTTCTTTAAGGCCTGTTTTTGTTTACATGAATACTTTCATGAAGAGTGACGTGGTTTGTTACATGACTATTGGCCGGTTTTAGCCTCCACAGAGATAGAGGCTAAGTTTGGGTCTAACGTACAGATATATGCACCA